TATAGAGTGCTATTTAAGTGCTATTACTGCTTATATATTATTGTGTAGGATATGCTGAAAATTCAGTGGTTGAACATTCACTACTGAACCTGTCAATTAGGACACACATATTTTTCAACACACGTCTTCTCTGAAGATAATATTGGACATTTCATAAAAATAGCAAGTCTCAAACAATTGAAAATTTTTATCAAGTAATAATGGAAAGAGTTGACTGGGGCATGCTTTTGAGATAGATACCTCAAGTTACTTTCTGTAGTTTCAGCGCTTTATGGCCTTTTTATGGAGCAGTGTCACTTGTTGGATTGTACCTACCTTTTGATTAGAAGGGGGCAATAGTGCATGGCTGCACCAGGAACTTGAGGAGCTTGAGGGACACATAAACAAGGATGTTTTTACATATTAAAATATTTAGAGCTTCCTTCTCAGACTAACTGTTGTTTCTGCCAAGAAAATGATATCCTAAGGTAAGGATAATGAAAAGGTAGAAAGGAAACTGATGACTTTGACTTCTGTCTCCATTTTAGGAGCTTTTTCGTCTCTTTTTTTTTTTTCTGTCTCCAAACACACCCTTATGAGTTTTTCCTTTCTATGAGGGAACAGTACTGATATCTTGGTAAGGAGCTGCAGCACCTCAGTCTGATGTGAGGGTAGGGACTGAAGAGTCAATTTGATTTTTCTTTTTGTTCTGACCACAGTGTTTTATAATTTAAAATAACAAATACTAATAATTGTTTATAGGCTATAACCCTTAAGATATCCTGAATGACTTTATCTACAGTGGACACAAAAAAAAGTGCACCAAGTGTGAAAACACATTTTAGTTCTAGTTACTGTCATTATTGATCAGTTATAGGACTGTGAGTTTGTTTATCTGTTTCTTTTGTGTTCTAGACAACCGTTCCTGGGATAAGAAATAATGTGATACTACAACCACTGCAATCAGATACGCCATACAAAATTACTGTTGTGGCTGTGTATGAAGATGGAGATGGAGGACAACTGACTGGAAATGGCAGAACTGGTAATTAGATTTAATACTGTATTTTCTCTTTTAAATTTAAGACACATATTCCTTGAGCACTCTGACATTGTTAAGGTTTCATTATGTTAATTCCATCTTTGATGTGATTATTACCTAACAGAGTTACAATGTAAGTTTCTAGAGGTTGAAAACCAGTCACTAGTCTAATTAGAGTGGTTTTCTTTCTTTTTAGTTGGCCTGCTTCCTCCTCAAAATATGTATATAACCGATGAATGGTATACACGATTCAGAGTTTCCTGGGATCCTTCACCATCCCCTGTTCTTGGCTATAAAATTGTATACAAACCTGTGGGTAAGAAAACCTGTTCGTTCTGAGTATACCACTTTCAGAATAGTGAGTAGCTAATGGGACATCAGAATAGAAATCATATGTATCATGAAATGATTTATTGATTTTCTTTTTTTTTACTGATTTTGATGGAAGATAAGTCTTATTATCGATATTTTATAAGAAGCACAAACTGTCAAACACAGTCTTTCCTACATTCAATTACAGAGATTGAATTACATAGCTAAAATTTAATACAGTGACTAGATAAAGTCCTGGACCAGAATTGTTTTTCGTCTCTTTAATACCTTTTGTCCTTCTGAGGATATGAACTGGTATGTGAGATGAGTATTGGACAGATGTTTAGGTACTAATGTCTTCAGAACCTTTGTTTTATGTGACAGTGAAACAATATACATACCTTTCTGTAAGTTAAACACAAACATTGAACAATAGCTTATAAAGCTATGTGTATGTTCTGCTTGCAAGAGTCTAATATGCTAAAATTTAAGAAATTTGTATGTTTTGTTTTAGAAAAAACAAGTTTAACATTTAATGACATACAAAAGACAGTGGATAGTTTTGCAGTTCACCTTATCATGAAACTTTCTCTCTCTCTGTACTTCCTTAATGCCTATCTTCAATTTAAGGTTCAAATGAGCCCATGGAGGTTTTTGTGGGAGAAGTGACTTCCTACACCTTGCATAATCTGTCTCCCAGTACTACTTACGATGTGAATGTTTATGCCCAGTATGATTCTGGAATGAGCATACCTTTGACAGATCAAGGCACTACGTGTAAGTCAAAATAATTTTGTTGTAGTCATGCTGGGTACATGTGGTGATCGAAGATAATGTTGATTAAGAGAGGATTTTTAAGGCTGGTTGTTAGAAAGCCTGAATATCCTCTCATCTGTCCTTATCAACTGTCTATCATGTAGATCTTAAAAACAGTAAGCTTGGGAACAGTAATGGAAACATAGTTTTAAGTAATGATTTGATGATATAAAATTTCCTAGTCTGCTTCCTAAAATTTTATTCAACTATAGTTGAATATAGTAGGAGTCTTTAACTGTCTCCAGGGAACTACATAATCTAACCATGTTAAGCAAGTCTAGGCTTTTTACTACTCTGCTTTTATCATACAGGGATGTCCAGTGATTGAAACTTTGGCTTTTCAGAAGGAGATGATTTTGTTGATGGCCTCAGATAAGAAACTTTCTAAAAATTTCTTCAGTGAAGATGAATGAAGCATGCTGAGTTTTGTTGACTCAGTACCTTCTTTTCATACTGCCGTGTATATGACTCAGATTCTGATTTTTGGAAGTTTCTTATTTTACAAAGAACTCAACTTACTTCATATGAAAACTCATATCATAGGCTGTTACCCAGTACGAGGAGGGTATCAGACTTTGGGCCTTTGTAAATAGCTAGGCTAGGATCTCTAGGGCATAAAAGAAAATGAAGAGATTTGACTAGAACTGCTCTTTCCTACTGTGAGTATTTTAAAAAGTCAAGTTCTGGATCAGCACTGCTAATCTTATTTTCATTTTGATGTGCTTCACCCATTACATACTATTTTCCAGAGGACAATTTCTGTCTTCCTCTGTTCACAGTATATTTAAATGTCACTGACCTAACAAGTTACAAAGTGGGTTGGGATTCTTTCTGTATCCGATGGTCACCTCATCGATCAGCAACTTCCTACAGACTGAAGCTAAACCCGGCTGATGGTAAGGACATTTTATTCTTTGCGTTTTCTGGAAATATAATTGTCTTATTTCAGTGACAGCATCACTTATCTGGTGAGGTGGCAAGCACCCATCAGAAGCCATGATACATCTGGTTGAACTTTAAAGCTCTGAACAGAACCTGTTTTTCTAGAGTGGTGAAAAGGCTACAAAGAGGGAGTGCTGCTTATGTCAAGTTAATGTTCAGTAGTGGGAACCTGCTGGTTACCTGGGGTTTCACATGTACACTGCAGTGGTCTAGAAAGGCTTTTATGGGACAAGAATAAGACTGCTGTCCCATCCTCTCCAACCTCCTGCCAAGAGGTCTCTAATTTCTACACTTGTACACGTATTAAAAGGGACATAGCAGGTTCTAAATTTCTTCCCATTGGACTTTTTTTGACAGGTTCTAGAGGACAGGAAATCACAGTACGTGGATCTGAAACGAGCCATTGTTTTACTGGCCTCTCACCAGACACAGAATACAATGCTACTGTCTTTGTTCAGACACCTAACCTTGAGGGACCTCCAGTCTCTATGAGGGAGCATACAGGTAGGTAATAGATACTGTGAAACTTATGTTTTGGCTATAGAACTTGTTTCAGCTGCAGAACTTGTCTTGCTCCTAAATGGCTTTCAATACCTCTTCTAAGTGGTCTT